AGGATTCAAACATGAGCAGATATTAGCAGTGGGGCGCGTTTACTAGATTTAAAAAGTTTCAAAAATGAGTTCCAGGTATCTGGAAAGGAATTTAAAAGGAAATTCAAATATCAGAATATCTAAAAAAGGAATTTAATGAGACTTGCTCCATCTTATAACGCCGAAAAGACACGACCGCTCAACTTTTCATTATACTTGAAAATGAAACAGGTGAACAGCCGGTCAACAAAAAATTATAAGTAGAATGAAACAAGCATGCTTCTTGGAAAATAATCCAAATTGGATGAATTAAGTTGTATTCAAGAGCTTTTCTTGAGCCGGAAACAACGAGATGTAATTCACGGACTCTCAGATATCGTGAAATCAACAATTCTCTAATTTTTACTGATGAAGTTCAAACAGAAAAGTTTAGAAGCCAGCAGATGATTATCCACATCACTAGGTTCAGAGAAGTACAATGAGGAAGAATGAAACGAAGAAATTTAACGAAATAGTAATTTTAAATATGGTTAAGAAATTCCGTTCAGACAGATACCTACAGGAGACCGCACGTGCTATGTGCTTTATGCGCCGTACATCGCACGGCGGCCAAAAATACATCCAAATATCGCTGTGAGACGCATTTAGACATGAAAAATTTATCAAAAAATCAAAATATTAAACATGGTTATGGCTTCGGCTATGAATTCATCTAAATCCTATTAACTTTTTTCATTATATCTACCTCTCTTCAGATTACTTCATCGCAGAATCGCTACTGCTCGTCCAAAGCTCCTCAGGTTGCGTTTTCCAAAATTTTCATTGATTGTATTCATTGTTTAGGACGATATTAATATTTCCTTCAGCTTGAAAGAAATGTTCCAGAAAGTAGAAAACACCCAAGTATGTTGTTACAATTTTTTTAAAACTTCTGAAAAATTAATTTTTAGGAAAAGCAGATAAAAATGCTGAAGGAGAACAACAAGATAAGTCTGGAAGCAACCGTAGGTTATTCAATTTGAATAATCATTTCTTCGATTTTTAGAAAGCAGAGCTCAGAGCTGAGAACAGTTCAGAGTTTCGAGCAATGCTAATGCACATGAAAATTCTCATCGGAATCGGTTTGCTCCTCATCGGGAATGCAGCAGCGTTTTACATGAGCTGAAAACCAAAATGCAGAAGATGAAGTATAAGGAAAAATAATGTTCTTGTCTGATTTTTTTTACTTTTTTTCTTTCAAGAATAAGACAATAAAAGTATTTATTAAATTGTGTCAGATTTTAATTTTTGTGCAATCCATTATGAATCTCTGATTACGCTTAACTTCAAAGTGCTACCCAGTCAGATGAAACAAAGACTGCATCAGCCTTATTACCGGTAAACACAACTAAAAATTATTATTATTTATTACATTACCATGAAGGCATAACAATGTTTATATATATGTATATTTGTATGTATATAAGCTCTATAGTCTCATTATACTAGAAGTCTGAGAACCACTTTCTAACAAAAAACCTGCTAGTGATTCTTTAATTCTCTGTAGCTTGTCGGAATCATTCAACTGAAGTTGTAGATCAGGTTTAAGAATAGCCATTTCCCTGAGAGCGTTCAAACAGTTTCTTACTGAGTCGCTGTTAAAAGCTTCCGCTGGAACAGAATATTTTAGAATTATCCTTCAGAAAATGTACTCACGAAGAACTTCGAAATTGATATCCAATGAATATCCAAACGACTTTCGGCAAAGATTAGAAACAAAGTCTTTTTCTTCAAAAAGAATATTCAGAACATCATGATAAATATTTCAAACCTGAGATTTGCTTCGAAAGAAGGGACAAAGCTTCAGTAACAAAATAGAAAGTTTGAACGAAGGGTTTCAGAATAGAAGCTAAGAACAAGCATTTCTTCCTCACGTCATCGTTGATAAGCTTTAAAAAGTATTGTTGAAGAACTATCGTTCGATGAACAGAGCCGAAGGACTTACCAATTCGCTCTCATTGCAAGAATTGCCAATGAACTCGGATTGAACCATTTCATGGAATTTTTTTTTCGCTAATTCAACTAAATTTTCACAGGGCTGAAAATAGAAAATAAAAATGAATGCCAGGAGAGTCAAACATACTTTACAAAAAATGACTTCAAATTGCAAAAACTGACAAAGATCTATTACTTTAGTGACTAGAGTAACTGGAGAGATCGTTTTCTCTTCATGAGACATGATGACCAAAGCTAAAAACAAAAGGTCATTAAGAGCTGCAGTTACATTACTCACCTATGACGCTCTTCAAAGCAAAGAGAGGAACTAAAGAGTTTCTCGAATAAGCCAAGTGATAGGCATGATGGGCACAAAAACTTTTGACATTGACCAAAGAGTCATCAAGACTCAAAGAATCTTTCAGGTATCTAGATGCATACTGGAGAAAATGTGAACTTCAAACTATGTCTTGAACACAACAGACCTGAACCAAATCATCTCCGGTAGTATATCCTGGGCGATAGCCCATTACTTCTCCACCCTCTTTCAAAATTTCTTCACAAATTTGGATCATACCGTTTGCCAGTACTCTACGATTCCCTCCCTGAAGCAGAGAGAAGTGAATATATTATGAATGGTACATACTCTTCTGTGCTTACTGAGCATCAATGCGCTCAGAATTGCTACAGGAGAAATCGAGTTAATCTGTTGAGCTTCATGTATCACATGGAATCCTATAGAACGGATCAACGTTCGATTATCAATGGCTACTTCGTGCATTTTGTGCCAGGGAATCAGTTCACTGAAACCCCGAAATTAAAACTATATATAAACGAGAAACCTCTACCGGTAAGAATAGGAATGTCTCATCCTCGTGATAGCGAACGATGGCTCGCAATGAGACAAAGATCGTAAGTAGCGCTTGAAAAGTGAATTATTAAGTTCTCAGCTATTGTATGAAATTATACCGATAACAAAATAGGCTTTCCATAATGAATTCGGACAGCTCCGCAACGCTTATCCAAACCGAACGTCTTGATTACTCCTCGGAATACGTCAATAACACTCTCGCGAATCTAAACAGCTCAGGTTGACAGCATGCCCAGGAATCATTTCAAACCTTTGGTAATCCTCTAAGTTCGTTATAAAAAACTCCTTCAGCAACTTGATCATATGTATACGAAACAGGTACTAAGTAACAGTCCTTAATGGTTCCTGAAAAAGCAAAAGTACAAACTTCCAAGAGTTGCTTCCGGTTTACCTTCTTGCAACGCTTCAACAATATTTGAGATCAACCCATGTTTGGGCAATAAAGGCTTTCCAAATCTACTTCTGCAAAAGCTTTTAATGAACAAGAAATATTTTAAAGAACGACCTTGTTCCTTCTGAGAAAAACTCTATGTGCATTCCTTTTTTCAAGAGTTGTTCGAGGTAAGAATGTAAAACAGCTCTGAACAGATAATAGCGAAAATTGAAAACCATCACTCACCTATAAATTACATCTTTCCCTCCCGAATCCGTAGGGCTTTTCGGACGACGGATGAAGAATGCTCCTGTGGATCGAAGAAGCCAACTAAACTCAATTATACAACAAGCCCCGAAGATAAAATATACCCAAATCCGGATAGGTTTAGATTGTCTCCAGAGGCAATATGAGGTAGAGGGAGATGAAAATGCCAAGCACACCATGTTATCAATAGATAGTCTAGATGACTCTTGTGTAGAGGAAGGTACACCAATGGAATGCCGGTCTGAATGTGACAAACAATGTTCAGAAAAGTTGATTGATAGTCTTACTTCATGAGCTGCTTGAACCTCTTTGACTTGCATAGGGTTTACATAAAGATGTGTCATTAATCGACGGAAAGTCTATAAACTGAGTTCGTTAACACAATTGCATTCAAAAACCGCACCTTGTAGAGCACATACGCGCATAGCTTACACACAAGTCGGGACAGAGTAGCTCTGATTTCAGTGAAGTATGAACAAACTGTTTTATTCAGATTGTTAAAAGTGAGACTTGGACATTCCTCATGAAGTTTAGCTACAGCAACTTCGACCCTGAAAATAAATTTAAAAAATATAGTCGCATAGCAACAAACCTTTTCGAATTGATTACTTCGTTCCTCACAGACGGATACTTATGAGGCAATGGTGTAGCCAAAGTATATCGAATGTCAGAAAACCATCGTTTAGGAGGAGCTTCACCTTTCTTTAAAGGCCAAGGAACACCATTATACTGTAATTAAGTATTTAGAATAATGAAACGACCCTCGAAACAAACCTGCGAGAACTCAAGCAAATCTACAAACCTATTGTCGGTTGCTTCTGTTGAATCGACTCCAAAACATTTTGAACAGTTTACAGAAGTAAAAAGACGATTTGACCATCCAAAATCTATGCTTTTGAAGTCATTTTGAGCTCTTATCATTGCAAGCTCATGGATGGAATATGGCAGGAAAACTACGCAATGTGTTCGAAACGCTCAACTCTGGTATTTTCGTTGCGACGGCAACAACCAGGCTATGTTGGGGAACTCAAGACAAAGTTGTTGAAAGAAAAGAAGGAAGATTCGTGATGAAAATGGAAGTGTATTGGCAGTTTCCCGAAATGAAAGTTTGAAGAAAAGAGTTTTAGGTTTACGTGGGACGCTTTAGTGGATTTTCCATAAATTACTAGACATTTACGTCTTGCTGCCTTTCTGAGAAATGACATTGGTAATTAGGCTCTAATGCCTAATACCATTGGTCAAGTTGAACTTCCTCGTGAGGTTGTTTCCTGGAGATTTGTATACTTTCTTGATAATGTATGGAACAATAAGATTAAGTATTGAGAAGATATAAGAAAGATAAGAATCCCAGATTCGGTCAAGGTCTTGTTATGAAGATGGTGAAGGAGACGTTCTGACCTATTTGCATATCATAATAATTTCATTTAAGGTATCAAACAGTCCCTGTTTAATCTTTATATTATTTTCTTCGTTTCAACATAACGTCTTTCAGAATATGAAGCCGGACATCTACTATTATCGAACTGGTTTAGCTGTGTGCGTCGTTTCTCTTTTCACCACAACTATTCTTCTGGTTACTGTGGCTGGTTTAGCTAACCGAGCTTCTTCTTACAAAGAGGAAGGATTAGCTAGAAGTCAAGAGTTCAAGGTTCATTATTACTGCAGTACCTCTCTGTGAACATATTGATTCAGAGCAAAACACAAGTAATATGGGCGGAGCTGATAGAAATGGGAAGAACCATGCGTATTCCTAGAGATTATGGCTCTGTAAATCCACAGGAAGCTACTGTTACTAAGGGACAACTGCACAAATGCTCTCGTATGCCTCAGTATTGAAACATCATTCTAGTTCACTATTTCAACAGAATGTACAAGACTTATGTGTCCCGCTGGTTCCATGGGTCTTGAAGGGCCACCGGGTGCTGATGGTGAACCTGGAATTCCTGGAAAACCAGGTTTCCCAGGTTTTGACGGAGAAGATATTGAATTGGACGCTCAGGTTAGAGAGTGAGGCCTCAAAGTCAATCATTTTAAATGATTTAGCCAGACCTCCCCTGTACAATTTGTGCTGGTGGACCACCTGGGCCAAGAGGACAACAAGGAGAGAGAGGAATGAGTGGTAAATCAGGACGCCGTGGATTACCAGGTATAATAGCCTAATCTCAGAAACCGCGATTCACTATGTCCTTCAGGAAATCCCGGTAAGCCAGGTCATGACGGTCCAACAGGATTACTTGGAAATCATGGATCTGGTGGTCCTGATGGCCCACTAGGTCATCGTGGAGCTCCAGGAGATACTGTTATTGGTAATAATTAATCATGCACCCGGTTTAATCAAATATGTAAAATTCAGCTGGGGAGGGAATCAAAGGACCTCCAGGACCACAAGGCTCATCTGGTCCTAAAGGTCCTCCTGGAGTTAATGGACGGCCCTCAAATCTCAGGTAACTACAAAGGGAAAATTGAAAAATTGTCATTCTTTAAAGAGGACCACCAGGAAAAGCAGGAGGTCAAGGAGCTATCGGAGCTACAGGAAAAGTTTGAAAACCATAGTTTCAGCAATAACCGATAAGCACTTACAGTACGGTCCTCATGGAGAAAAGGGAATGCCAGGTCCACCAGGAGAGCCAGGAACCCCATCAACTTATTGCCCGTCAGACTGTGGAGTTAACACTATCCTCACTGATTTTGGCGCCCCTTCAGCAACTGAAGTTTGTAGTTCGATCATATTCGAAAATATTAACATGTTTCATTCAGCCCGTACAAATGGAGGAAACGGAAGGAGAACCAGAAGAAAGTTTCGAAGAAACCTCTTACAGACAATTCTATGGAGCTCGTTGATTCTTCTAATAAATCTGTTGATATTTTGAAAGATTTCATTTTCAATAATGATAATTAACAAACAAAACGAACTGGATCATGCGCTGCACCTCATTCACTATAAATGTTCTAAAATCATTTATGCAGATTGGATGGCGCTTGAGCGGTTGTGCTTTTGCAATTGAAACTCGTTTTCATTCAATATGGGATATATATTGTTATTATTACTAAAAGCAAAAAGATTATAGATAAAGCTGTTATTGAAATGATTGAAATAAAGAGGAAATAATTTTTTTAATTATACTAATGCTCATAATACTGTTATCTCAAATCCATTTCTGCCACTTTCTATGTTCTTACAACTGCTTCCTCAACCACCAGTGTGAAGCTTTCCGCCCCTGTTTCCTCTCCATAAGACATTTAAGTTTTAAAAACTAATTTATGTATAAAATATATTATTTTATATTAAAATTGAGGTGAAATAATATACAAATGAAGTCATATAAAGCTGTCAAAACGTCATTTTAGGCTTTACGATGAAGAAAAAGAAAAATGGAACAAAGAGAGAGAGAGAGAGAGAAAGAGAAAGAGAGAGAGAGGGAATAAGAGAGCAGGAATTTACTGGTAAGAAAAGGAATATAACCAACAACATCGTTTTGCTTTGCATCAAATCTCTTTGGTACGGGCGAAATGAATATCTATGAGCTTGAAGCGTTATCTGTTAAACGAGGCTTTTTCTTGAGTATGATAAAAATGAATTCCGAGTATCTACACATGAACATGGAGGATATCAGAAATGAGGAAAAGTTTTAAAATCTGGGGCGAACATGCTAGTTGAATGGTATCAAAATCACACTTGCGTAGAAAACAATCACGGGTACACTCCAATGGATTATTTTTTTTCTGATTTTTGTTAAGACCAAGTATGGGCCCATCTTACAAAGCGTTTACGGCTCAGGAAGATGAACATAACATGATCTGTGGAAAAATACAATTATATGTATAATTTGCTAATAAAATAAAATATAAATGCTCTTGATCAATGGTGGGAAGGAGAGAGGAGAGGAGTAAGGAGTAGAAAGGAAGAAGAGAATCCTTGGATTTCCGTATTTGTAGAAAAAAATATTTTCTGACAAAGAAAAAGGAAGAAGACGAATAAACGAAAGAAGAATAAGAATCTCAAAGTTTGTCAGAAAAGTCTTTGCTAGAAGACGATTGAAATATGAGAGAATGGTATATCGGAGGACAATGAGAAACAGAGAGTATCTAAGTCATCTATAAACAGTATAAATACATTATTTTGACAACAGCTAGTTCAAATTAAAAAAAAAAAACAAAAAATGACAGGAAAAAGGATTTTTCCATGTCTTACTGGGCAGGATATCTATGGAATGGTTTGGAATTTATTATTGTATTGATCCATTGAGTACTGACTGGTGGCCGTTGACATGGGCTGTGCATATGGGAAGTAAGCTTCCATTGATGAATAGTTTCCTGAAATGACATAAGTTTATAACAGTTTTCTGGCTATTAATAGTTTTAGATGTTCTCTATTGACTCGATGAGTTTCAGAAAAGAAAACTTCATGAAGCCTATGATGTTGGAAGGCTTGAGTCACTTCCTTGTGCAAAAAGAGAAAATATGGGAACGGCTTGAATAAACTACTTCATATGTGATTCAAATATCTTTTTTTTTCTATTTCTCTTTTTTTTCTACGGTTTATGTATTTTTGTGAACTAACCATATGCGTATTGAGCTTGTGGTCGACCATATACGGATACAGTAGGAAGATATGCTGGAACAACAGGTTTTGTATCAATGCTTTCCACATTAGTCATCGCTGAAGGTGACTGTGTATTATCTGACATATTGCTTTCACTTGGCTCTTCTGATTTCACCTACAAAAAAAATATGAAAAAGACTGCTCATGAAGGACTTACAACTACTTGTTCAGATTCTGCTGTGCTTGTATTTCCTTCTGTAGATGAAGATCCGCTTGATGAACCTCCATTATTCTGAGCCTTTTTCTGCTGACGAGCTTTGGCTCTGCGATTTTTGAACCACACCTTCAAAAGAAAGAATTAGAATGAAAATAAAAGATTTGATTTTTAATATATATAATTCTTGGAAAGCGAAAAACAACTTTGGAGAACATTTTCTATCCTCCAAGTACAGTAATCCAAAAGCTCCATCACCTTGGAAACACATATAAGATTACTGTACTCGATATACCTTTTGTGTATTTTTTATAAAACAATTATTTCTATGGTCCCCATTAATCTATTATGTGTAATAGGCCTTAGGGGAGGAAGAAGACGAAGTCAATCAATTCTGTTCTATTTGCTTTGAGGATTACGGTATGTGGCCGCAACGGGTGAGCGGAGGAGGAGGGTCGTCCTCGATCGCGCGATGGTTGCACGGAGAGAAGGAGAAGCCAAGTCTTCGTACAAACTAGTGAAAAAAAGAAAGAAAAAAGAGAAAAAGGCATTGGGGAAGACAAAATCGTGGTCTTAGAGCGATAATCTGTGCCAATATTGTTTTTTTTGTTGGTTAAAATGTTGCAAAGACGTAATGAGGAAGCGGAATTACCTGAACACGACTCTCGGGTAATTGGATTTTGTTGGCCATCTCTTCTCGCATAAAGATATCTGGATAACGGGTTTTGGCAAAAAATCCTTCCAATATTTCTAGCTGAGATCTGGTAAAAGTTGTTCGTTCACGTCGTTGTTTTCTGAAGCTGAAAAAGGAAAATGGTTTGGATGAACTTCGTCATTACATTAATCTCTCTTCATCACTCTCTCTCCCTCTCTCTCTATTTCTCTCGATTAGTACAAAATTCTCTTTTAAGTTAGTTAATGTTAACCAAGTAGACTGTAATGGTATTCCTGGTAAAGACCCTTCTTATCACATTTTCTTCGCCTTAACCTTGGCTTACTATCACGTTCATATCTCAGATAAGGCTTCTAATCTCCAATTTTGTAAATTAACTTGAACTAGAGAACGCCATAATCAATGAGCTATAGAGAATCCGGGTTCTAATCGCATGCAGTCTCACAAGCTCACTGTTATGCACATGGGCATGAGTACAAAAAGTACTTCTTGCACGCCAATATGTCTAAAAGATAAATCTGAAACTTACTTAGGTTGTGTGGATGCATTCCATCCAAGACCAGGCTGACAGTCTGTCAAGCTTCCACCAAAGTAGCCCATTCCAGCTGGAAGTATATTGTGGGAAGGTGGAGCAGAAAATCCAAGATGAGGAGCAGCATAGGCTCCTTTTCCAAAATAAGCTGCTGTCATATTAGCCATGGAAGACATGTTGGCAGCTGCTGCTGTCGAAACAGCCGGTATGTAGTTCATTGGCTAAAAAATATATAAATTAGTAAGAAATTTGAGAAAATACTGATTGAATGAATGAAAAGAGACAGATTGGGAAAGATAGAGAGAGAGAGATAGAGAGAGAACGAAGAGTTGGAGTTTGATAGGCTAGAGGATAGAGGAAAGAAAAAATTTCCAAAGGTTAACGAATGATACTATGAAGAGAAAGATAAAAAAGGTTTTCAGAAGAAGAGCTCGTATTGTATTCAGGCAGCTTCTTCCTTTTTCATCCAAAAACTGTAATTGTATGGCGGGAAGCTCAAGAAAGTGGGAGGAGTCAATATGCATTAGCAGAATATCAATTGGAATCAAATATATATTTGAAGATATTAAGACAAATGGAAATAATATTTATTTGAAATTAGATTGGAAAATGTTGAAAAACGAAGAAATACAATCAAATCATCCTTTAGCTTTTTGTTTCTTTGAACGTTTTCGTCTCGAGATATGAGATGTAAGCTTTAAGTCATTTGATTGCAAAACACTCTCTCTGATTATCTAATGGTGTTAGGAGCACAAGAAGAGAGAAATATATATATATGTATACATGTATATTATATATTTATATATATATAAAAATCATTCTATAGCTACATGGACAAATCATCCATAATACCATAAACGTAATCAGGGAGAAAGGGAGGGAGGAAAGAAGCGGCAAAGCTTTCTTCATATTTCCATTTACACATGGACTTTCAACACCAAAAATAGTTTGAGGGAGTAGCATCTTTTGAAAATACAAAAAATACAGGAAAAGCTTCACTACTAGGCAAGAGTCTGAGAAGGAAGAGTTTGATTGAAAAGAGTTCGTATTCTGTAGAAGTTACATGAGAGTTGAGGTAAAAAAAAAAGTGGCGAAATGAACCAACAAAACGAAGGAACTGAGGAGACTGACGATTTCCTTCTCCCCTTCTCTCTCACCTTCTCTTTCTGTCTCCCTTTCTCTCTCTCTTGGTCGCAGTCGTGTCTATATGTGTATTTGAAGGTGATAGAGCATAGGCCTCGATTACAGTCAGCAATCGATAGAAAAAATATTTCAATTTTGAGCCATAGCGTTTGATTTTCGAATGATTTTCGTTTTTTGAAAGAGAGAGAGAAAGAGAGAAAGAGGGAGACGATCAAAGAGAGAGAGAGAGAGAGAGAGATGGAGAACTGAAGAATTGGCTTCCAATCCGATGGTTAACATGAAAAATTGAAGTTGTAAATGATAATTTGAATTAGAACATTGGATTGAATTGAAAATCTTCATCACAATATCTCTTAGAGGATCGAAACTTGATGTAAAAACTTCATTTTATAAACTCAATTAGGAGAAATTTGACCATTTTTGCATTTTAGTTACTGTAGCCATTGTTGGCAAATAAAATAAACTTTTTTCAAACAATAAATAATATTGTTGAAAACCTTATAAAGACAACATTGGTGACGATGACGTATTGAGATCATCACTTTCATTTCTTATATTTCAACGCTGTGTCTTAGTTTGGTTTCTCTACTCTCTGTGTTCATCACTCAACCAATAACGATGAAGAAGGATGAGTTACAATCAGAAATTCAACGTTTCTTTCCTCATTTTACCATTTGAGAGGTTCTTCTACACTTTGCTGGCAAGTGAGAAGACAGAAGATGAAGTAAATGCTGAAGATGTACTAAGCTTACATGTGATGCGGAGAGAACGAAGTAAGAAAAACGAACCAACTAACAAATTAACTTATGCATTCACGAGCTAAATGGTAAAAACAAATGTGATTAGAAATTGAAAAGAGAAGGTCAATAAGTCAGCTTCTCATCACATCAGAAATCTTTTTTTATTTCTTCATTTTGGTCTTATGTCGTCTTCGTGCTTCGTCTCTGGACAACTCCAGAAGAACCGGCTTCTCATCGTCAACTTCATCGAGGCCGACAAGGAATTGTTCTTCATTAGTCGTTGATAGACACACAAAAAACATACATTTGTTTTGAAAATGAATTTTTCGAACAACAAAAATGATGAGAAAATGAAGTTCCGAAAGTTGACGATTGTTATGAGCAAAATAAGAAAGTACATCAAAAACCTAGCACCGATGAATGAGGATTGAAGTAGGTAGATCAAGGAAGCACCAATGGATGAGGATAGCAATAAGTAGATCAAGAAAGAGGAGGATATCAAACTAGTGACTACAAAAAGGAAATGTGATGGCTCAAAAACTCTCTACGCAAAAAGATTTGAAGAACATTGGCAAGGTGGAGGATATAGGAATAACATAAGCAAGATATCGTGAAAGGCTCACCTCGAATCGAAACCCGAACTATATTCATCGCTTGGACATCGCTCCTTTCATGGCACCAGAGCCGCCTGTTCCACACCAGCATTCTTGTCTTCTATAACTTTCTGGACAACGATGCTGCTGGTGGGTTAGCTGTACTGGCGCCGTAGAGAGGAGAAAACCTCTTAAAGGGTTCTTCCGGTGCCAAGCGAGGATGAGCTGGGTCTCGACGCGATAAGCCTATCACATCATCCTTTAGGATTACGATAAACCCTACTGGAATTAGACGGTCGGCTACGGTGCGCGAGCCTCGGCTCAGCTGCCTCAATGCGATTTTGAACAATCCAGAGCCACGCCCAAATTTTCTGCAGTCCTCTCTCACCAGACAGTACTCTCCATATATATTCAGATGTCTGTACTCTCTATCCATTTGCATAGTGTTTTGTGCTTTGGCCACGCCCATCAGCAACAGCCAATCACTGTTGCGCTAGACCTAAGATAAGCACCGCCCATTTCTCTGTTTAAGCCTTTGGAAGAGTCCATTGAGCATAAAATTTGCCAAAAAAAAGAATTGATTATACAATAACACACAGATACTTGGTCTGATGCATAGGAAGAGTATCAGGAGTGAATTGTCGCTTAAATCTCAAAAAAATCCGACTCAAACAAAAGAATGATGAGAATGAATAGACAGATTAGACATGATAGAATGTGGCGACACATACGAAATACCTGTAAGCAATACATTTTCACACACCCAATCACTAGAAGCTGTTGAATATTAGTCTGATAAGTTATTGCGAGAATGAAAAGGGTTGGAAATGGCACATGAAATGGAGAATTGGACTGAAGTCCGATTTCTTGATTGTAATACATGGTTCGGTACAGTTTTCATGAGACAGTTCTACTGTTTTGCTCATTTTCTAAATATGTTTTTCTACCAATTCAACGACATAATTGTTTCGCTGAAAATAATGATGATCGTTGATGATGATCGACGTGGCGTCCAAGGACTACGGTAGAAAGTGAGGAATGCACGAATGTTGCTTTTGCTACTGACGATCATCGTCCTCCTCTCTCATCATCATCTGGTAATGAAGATGTGACGGTAAAGACAAACTTCAGAATACAAAATATAGATGAGAGAATAAAAAATGAAGATAATGTATGAGAGAGTGTGAGAGAAGCAGAAAAAGAATAGAATAAGAGAGGAGAAGCTCGAGAACTAACAGATAGACATAAAAGATACGCTTGATAGCATCAAGACAAATGATGTATACGAAGGTAAGAAGGAACAGCTACGCTCAATGAAGCATAACTTTCTAATTTTCTATCTCTATCTCTCTCTCTCTCTCTCTTTCTCTCTTTCACTTATATTATGAGGCTACCTGATTGACGTCGTCTGTACAGTCAAATACAGTTCCGTACAAGTTGCTTGTTCCGTTTTCCATTTTCTTATATCGAGAGAAGGAAAAGCTGAGAAAGGAAGAAAAACGTATAGACGATAGTTGATGAAGTCATCACTGCATCTTTTCTTTTTTTGCTTCCTTCAACATATTAAAGATTGTCAACATGCTCCTCGCGACATGACTGTTATGAAAAATATTTTAAACATAATCCGAAGAATTGTATACGAAAAGATAAAATGAGAGAGAGATAAGCTGGTATATGTGTGATTGAAACAGTTTCATTGAAAAAAAGGAAAAATGAAATTAGTCTCTTGTTAGAGCGTCATGATAGATAGGTAAGTGAGGTGTACTCTAGAAGGTACATCAGTGACAAAGATTGCTCGTCATATGTGAAACATCTTATTGAATCTCAAAGAGAATGGTATGCCACGACACATCCATATACGGACAGAGAACTCTCGCTTGATTACTACCAAATGCGAAACAGCTTATGATGTAGTTTTTCAGCCAATATATTTAATGGAAAAGCTGTACGAGTCGTTCATTTCCATCTTCATTTTTCAAATCCTTGATATATCAATCTTCAGATTACGTTGGTCATATTCTTCATTTCAATCTCCTCAATTAGCATATATGACAGTATGGACGTGAACACACACACGTACGCGACTGATCTAAGCTAATCTCATTTTCACACCTGCAGACAAACTGAGCGGTTGCTTTTCCATAATCTTCTAATTCGTTTTGACCCGTACCATCTTACATTCTCTTTATCTCTCATTCTCTCTCTCTCTCTTTCTCTAGGTTCTTTGCTTCCAACAAGAGATGCCTTGCTACAGTTTCATTCTTCTAATTTCTCATTAATCTGACCTGATCTTCTTAATGCAATTGCTACTAACGTAACAGGTAAACAAAGATTTTCATAAGAAAAAAACCAAAACAATCAGTTTGTTCTTTGAGAAAGGAAGGGATAAGAATCGGATGACATCAATGAATAATATTTCCTTAAAAAAGATGGAAAAAGTATCTTTTCCCAGCTTCTTTATTTACAAATAATCCTTAAATAGATGAAATGAGATGAGTCAGCTGTTTGAAAAATGTTTGAAATCATAGTGAGTGAGAGAGAGGAAGAAGCTGAAAATGGAAAATGAACTGCGAAAAGATTGATACGATAAGAAAGGCAACTGTTTCATTCTCCAAAAAAGGATGAAGCTGCTGTGTTGAAACATTATAGAAGGGCTATGTGATGGTCTTGAATTTGCGTTACAAATCCATGTTGTGAGCCGATCATGTGTGGCATGTTCGTCTAATACATGTCAGGATGTTA